ATCAGTCCTTGTTGAACATGAAGTCCAAAGTGCAACCAACAAACCAGTCTATGTATTAAACTGATTAACTGGTACTTAGTGCTATGTATGAATATATAAACTCTAAAACAAGTAATAAAATTAGATTATCTCACTGCTGCAACTGTCTTCCCTTCCAAGTGGAGGCAAATCCACTGTAAATATTTTACTGACACCTAAAGAAAGCATCTGATTTAGTAATTGTTACATAGCCAAAAATTGCAGACGTCCGCAATTTGGAAATTGCATTTTTTTCAATCGCGATTATATTGAAAATGCGATTAATTGTTCAGCCCTAGTTAGAGTTTGGCTCGTGAGCCACGTCTGATAATAGTGACCGACTGTGCAGGGTTGGATTTTTTTGTCAGTACCTGGACAGAGTTTTGGACCTGGTGAGAGCCTTGGTGATGACCAGAGACGGCGCAGACTGACGTCGGTAACTCTGGAACTTCATTCGCTGAAAGAAAAACAAGGTTTCAACAAAGAGAAATCAGAAACAGTCGCCAAATCCTGTGCAGTCAGCGAGCCGTCTGTCTGTTTTTCTTTCTATTGAAGGTTTCTGCTGCAGATGAATCTTCCAACTAATATCTTATTTACCATAGAAAATACTTTTAGGGTAATCTTATGTTTAGGTTTTATAGAAACTATTCAATTATAAACTGACCCACTTTAGTTTCTTATAATTGGATAGAAATCTGACCTGCTTGTTTGGTTAAATGCTTTAGGATTGATTTAATTGAGACCTGTGGCTATAAATAAATGGAAGGTTTAAAGGTAAGCATGCTTTTTTTCTTTTTTTTTCAAAGCTACGGAGCCATTGTTTGCTTTCTCAGGCAGCGGCAGGTTAAAAAAAGTTGACCTTACTAATGTTTTCCAATTCACAGAAAAAAAAACGAGTAATCTGATTTAACTTTCTCCACCTATTAAGTATTTCCAAATCTCTGCAGCGCTGAAGTCCAGCAGCTGTTGCTTGCAGCCATATTGGTATCCTATTATCTCCGTGTCCCCACGGGGATCAATAGGTTTCGTTTAATCTAATTGTGAAAGGATTTGTGGGACTAAAGCGGGGGAACAAACAGCCATTACATAACTGTCATTTTTTTTTATAGTATGTAAGATTAACCCACTTGGTAGAGATCACCTGATGCACAGTTTGCCAGAAGCCTTGCTGGAGACACAGCGAGCATTCAGGAGAAGATGATGTTTTCGTCGGATAAAACCGAGATCAAACTTTTCAGAGCCACATGCAAAACAATAACACTGCACATCAACCTACAGTAAAGCATGGTGTTAGCAGCATTATGCTGTGGGGTGCTTTCTTTCAGTAGGAAGAGGAAAATTGCTCAGAGTTGATGGGAAAAAAGGTCTGATCTGTGGTCTTAAAGGTTACCGAAGAGAATCACAGATTTATTAAGTATTTTAGCAGCTATTTGAAGCTAAACACCGACTTTATTGCATATATATGATTCGTTTACAACCGACGGCATGTTTGCTTTTCAAGCACAACTAAAATTCACATGAAATTAGCCTGTCATAAACTCTTTCGTAGAATATTTGCTAATTAAAAGTGGAGTGAGGACTCTTTTATTGCTTGAATCCCCATCTCAAAGTTTAAAAAGGACTGAGCAGAAAACAAACAAAGCTAGACTCATCCGTCTTCCTCTGTCCAAATATCAACAATCCCATCGTTTCACTTCTTAACATCACTGATTTCACACGGTCGCACAGCGGTGAAACATTCCTGATCCTCCCTGCTTCACAATGTCAGCATTCAGAACTCAGAAACAGTCCAAATGTCGGGGGGATATAGATGTTCTATAATAGAACCAGTAACCAGTTCTAGATCAGTTAGAGGTTAATAAACAGACACACTTACTGGAAAACGTTACCTAAAACACATTTATGTAGTGATGAGAATTAAATAGTCACTTTACCCCAAACGTTCCCTATAAATTACACTAATCTGTTTTAATAGTGTAGCTTTTTCTCTAGATTGATCCTACTGTCTCTGAACTTTCAATCAATAATCCATAACAACCATTTCTATACGTCACTTAACATGTGAAAGATGAGAAAATGTGTGGTTAAACTGGGGCAGCAGCTGCTAGAGCTGAACTTATCATAATATAACAGTTTGTGACTTTAAAAGCAAGGAGAGCAGCCATACACTGCAAAAAAAATCTAAATCTAGATAAGTCATTCTTTCTTAAAATAAGTGCATTTGTTCTTGAATTGAGGAGGTAAAAGAGACATTTTGCCAATGGAACAAGACAATTTACACTTAAAATAAGAAAACACAATTGCATTGTCTTATTTCAAGTGCATATTATCCAATTATCTTATTGTAAGAGTAAGATTACTCATTCCATTGGCAAACTATCTCATTTACCTGCTCAAATTAAGGGTGAATAAACTTAATTTAAGAAATTTTTACTTATTTCTAGATTGTTTTTGCAGTGTATTTAAGAAGCAGCCTGAAGAGACTGAAACTGAGTGTTTTTCAGAAGCAGCAAACACTTCAGGGGCGTTTAGGGTGAAGCAGAGGAGGAATATGTTCCAAACAGGTCAAACACAGCAAAGGACGTGTTATGCTGTGGGCCTGGGTCACTATTAAAAGCCTTTAGAGCAGAATGTCATCATGCTTTCATTGAAATGTGTTTTTTGTAAAATAAATTAAAAAATGTGGCATTTTCCAGTAAACTGAAAGGACTCTTCACTGCGTCAACATCCGAGAAGAAAGCATAAGAGTAGATCTGCTATTGTGTGGTGTAGAATTAAAAAAAAAAAAGACGCAGTTGTGCTCAGAGGATGAGTTGATCCAGTTTGAGTGTTTGTTATTCAAACATCATGCTGGTAATGGAAATAAAACCAGTGGAGAGGGAAGAATTCGCAGCAGAGCTTTGATAGAATAACTTTTTAACAGTTGCTGTTACAGAATAAACTAATTTGAAGTATTTACTACCTCCATGTTGTGAGGTAAACAGCTTTTAGTTGTGAACTTTGACTAGGCCATTCTAACAGCTTTGTATATTTCTATTTAGCTCCATATTTCATCCATTATTATTCTCCATCCGTTATAAAGAGTCTTCGACAGCATAGTACTACATATTTTTTATCAAATAAAAACAATTATTAGATTAATTTGATCCAATTCAAATATCTTTTGCTCACATTAAAACAAAAATGTGAAGATCTAGGCATCCCTAACTCTAGTCTAACAGTTGAGTGAAAGTCCTGACCTCTGACCTGCCCTGTCTCCCCCCCAAACATGCAGATAAAACAGTCATTCATGTGGAGGATGGAGGAAATCTCACCCGTCTGTTTTCCTGCTGGCCGCCCCGGGTGAGGCTGTCCTGCCGCTGCTGCGGAGACATGCTATCCATCCAGTCCCTCAGTATCCAGATGTCCTTAAGTGACACAGCGATAACCTCCCTGTCAGGAGCGCGCAACACATCTCAGCAGAAGCTGAAGGAAGCAAAAACATAAGCAAAAAAAAAAAGGTTTGAGGAGAGAATCTGATAAATTTAACAAAGTTAAGAGTTGAAACCAGCTCCCAGCTGAGTGAAAGGCTGAGCTGCAGCTCCTGTGTGGATTATCAGGCGCTGCTCCAACTCTTAATGCGTCTTTACGCTCAGAGAGGAGGCGGTGCCACCACGCTGCAAAAAATAGATCTTCACTATTTTTACCAAAATCTGCTCTTTTAAACAGCCAGGCTACTATTTATAGACACCCTTAGAAGAAAAACTTCTGTGTCTGCATTTAAAATGGATAAAAAGAGACGATTTTAATGAGAAATAAAGTCCAACATAAACATAAACGTCACTTTTTTCAACTTATAACCACAAAATTTATAGTTTATCAGATTTTATTTGCGAGATGAAACACAAATATGGAAAAGTTTGATGTAAATAAAAAAAAAAAAAACGTTATGTTATTCCTAAATGAAATCAAACAGCCTAGATAGTAATAAGTCACTTTGTGAAGGCCTGTTTGAGAGTACTAGGGGGAAAAAAAGCAGGTATGTTAGGAGGAAAGTGGAGATTGTCTAAGCAAACTTACCAAGACACGACTGTCCACCTAAACTCACAGGAGAGACAAATTCACAACACAATAGTCCAGTGGAGACCGTACAGAAGCTGGAGAGGTGGGAGTAAATGGCAAGATAACTAAAGGCTGCAACTAATGACCGTTTTGCAAATCGATTCATCTGTAGATTGTTTTTTCAATTAATAATCGGATAGTAAAAAGATTTTTTTACCGGATTTAACTAGGGGAAACTAAAACCTTTCCATTCCGTAAACGTTAAAAAAAACAACAACAATCCACTGTACTTGGTTTCCAAGATTTGAAGACGTTTCGCTTCCCCTCCAAGAAGCTTTCTCAATTCAGATGTCTGGATCTGAAGTGAGTTTGAGTCATTATATAGACAAGGCCTTATATAAAGACTCAAACTCACTGCAGATCCAGACATTTGAATTAAGAAAGCTTCCTGGAGGGGAAGCGAAACGTCTTCAAATCTTGGAAACCAAGTACAGTGGATTGTTTTTGAAAAACTTGTACGGAATGACTATGACCTGGATGACTAAGAATCTTCATCAGCATAAAACTTTTCCACTTGAGTTCTGTATAGAGCATATTGACAGACATAAGTTTTTCTTACCTTAAAGATAAAATATATATTTATTAATTTCCAATCTTGGCTTAATACTGTTAATCTGACAGCTAAATGCATGTTTTAAAGTCTCTATACTCTAAACGATTAATATATATATATCGTATATATACGATTAACAATTACTTAATTAGTTGATGATTATTTCAATAATCAATTAACATGATTAATCCGATTGTTTCAGCTCTAAAGATAACCATAAGTTCCTCATCAGTTAACAACAAACCATGTCAGGGACATGAAGAATGAACTTTAGTGCAATCAGATTGAAATTTAACTTTTGGTCCTACTTTAAAAATACCAGCTATGGAGGAAAAGCTAATCACACCATGTTGGAGCAAATCAGCAGCAGACTTCACCTTCCAGCAAGAAGATGTTCTAAAGTCTATTGTTGCAGCCCAGAGTATCTGATCAGAGCACCATGCTGCAAGGCTTTTAGAAATATGGATTTTTTTTTTTTTTCAGTTAGTCAATCATTAAATATGTGGGGAAAAAAGTAAAATATGCAATAAAACAACCCTGAATTAGGGGCTGGGTTTAATATGATAAAATGTTAAATTGCAGGCAAACAGTCATGAGAACTGATTAAAAGTAGGCGGCAGTCTAATAATGAAGGACAAACTTTCATAAAAATGCAAAAAAAAGAAACAATTAACTAAAAGAAAAGTTGCAGTTTCTTAGCAGGTTGAAATCTGGTTTAGGGCTGCAATTAACAATTATTTTGAAGAAATATCACTTAATCTTTCGATTATTTTTTCGATTAATCCATAATTGGAACAAGACTTTTTGCAAAATTAAACCAGATCAAATTAAAACCTTTCTTCTTGAGGAGTTCTGGATAGAGCATACTGAAAGACGAAAAAGATTTTTATCTTAAATGCAAAATGTTTATGTATTTTTTTAAATAATTTAGGTATAATTTCTGCTCTAAGTGGATCACTCTGTCAGCTAAAGACGTTTCAGAACCTCTACACTCCAGTTAACGACTAATCGATTACCAAATTAGTTGATTACACGATTAATCTGATGATTTGTTTCAGCCCTAATGTCTAATATTTACTAATAACTGTTTGGGACTTGAGTTTAAAAACTGGTTATTGACCCCAAAAAATCGATTATCTAGAACAGAAGTGGGCCATAAAGTGGGCTAAATAAGAACAAGGCCACAAAGTGAAGCACAGAGAAGTATTCATTCCCCAGTTTGGTCCCAATCAGCCGCGTTGAAAGTGGATCACTTCGATGATTACCTCCCCTCCTGATGGTAATGAGCAGCCTTGGGCATGGCGAAGAAAAGTAACACGTCCCCCTTCCCCGTCTCCCAACATTTCTCACTGCAACACGTTTTCCTTCGTGTTTCAGGCATCGACTCGACTTTTAAGGTCAGAGGCAAATGTGATGTTTCGTGCGTCGCTGCTGTTTAGAGACACGTTTAGTAAACAAGGAGCAGGAACCCAACAGTTAGACACAGAGTGAGAAATCTATAAGGAAACAGAGAAGTTAAGTCATTGTGGGCAAAAAGAAGAGGCTTGAGAAAGAAAATGGTGTTTTATCAACTTTATTCAGGACAGAAATAAAACAAATTTAACAAAAATAAATCATTCTGAAGATAGAGATTATCTAAAATAATAATAAATGCACTTAAACTGGAAAAAACCAGTCAATAAGCTAAACAAAACAAGATTTTCAAACGGCCTAGTCAAAGTCCAGACATCTGACAGTAAAGCTGCAGCACCTTTAATCTAACTTCTAATATTCTTTCCAGAGCAGATCTAGAATAAATCCTGCATGTTGCTTATTTATCACCAGTTTCCTCAGAAATTCATCATTATTTCAAGTATTAAAGTGTAACACATGAAATATAACCCAAACCCACTGGAAAAACTGACTTACCTGCAGTGTTTATAGGATTTATAAATCACGAACTTCGGTATTAGTAAAAATCCATAGCCAAAAAAAGGAAAAATAAGCATTTAGCTCCTAAAAAAAAAAACAATATTGAGTGTGTATGCAAACATTTACCAGTTCCATTGCTGCATTATTAGTGGCATCTGGCACCCAGCACCTGTAGCAGACAACAACAATTAAAACTTACTGCAAAGCTTTGTGCAAAAAGAGGTACAAAGAAATAATTTAAAAATGTGTAAAATGTAATAACCTGCAGGGTTCAACAAAACATTAACAATTCAAACATGATAATATAATAAACAAACAAAAATTAAGTTTTAATACCAAGTAAGACAGCAAGGAAACTTGATTTGGCCTTTATCACACGTATAAAGTAAATCTAAGTGGGCGACAGAGTGCAAATAAAATAGTTATAACAAAAATATACAAAAATTCAAGTAATAAAAAAAAAGAAATAAAAAAAAATAAAAACAGCTGAAAGAAAAAATAAGATAATTTTAACCAGAAGCTGATCTGGATAAAAGTGTTTGAAGCTGCTGTTTAAAGGATCAACAGAGTCCACCAAACAGAGTGTAAGATTTTCCACAGTCTTAAAGGAAAAGAGTTTTAAACCGAGTCTTAAGCATCCATTTAACAATTTTAAAAACTGCTGTGATGCGTTCAATGTTAGTTCCCGTTAAAAAAAAAACCTTGCTGCAGCATTATGCACCAACTGGAGATGATGGATGTGATTTATTAAAACAACTAAAACAAACTATAAGGGAGGAATAACCAGCTCCAGGTCAGATTTAGGGTTTACACTTAAAGATATAAAGGAAGATCTTTTATTTGCGGGTGGATCATCTAAATAAGTGGTCCTCCTAGTTGTCAATCATTCTGGTGGTATGTTTACATAAGGCTGTCCTAAGTGCTCGCCCCGTTAGATATCTTTTTCTGCACATGCGGCGTATATCTGTGGAGAGCTACGGTTTCCGACAGTCATTGAAGCTCACCTTTCTCTTTGAAAATGGCCGAGGGTCGTAAGAGAAAAAGTGTCAACGAGGTGTATGAGAAGAAAAGGCCTCAGAAGAGGCAGATATATCCCAGAATGCTTTGCGCCGAGAGCTCTCCTCGCAAAGCATTATGGCTTGTATGAGCAATGAGAACAGAATATTTCAAACAGGACTTGCACGAGGATAAATGGGCTTGTGCATGCTCTTGCACGTGCATTTTGTTTTTAAACTGGAGAGGGCGGGTCTTTTAAAAAAATCCTCCACAATACCTTTAAATAATTCTGGAAAAAAATCCCTTAAAACGATCAAAGCAATTTTCACCGAAAATGTTGAGATCCAACAAAACCCAGAGGTTCCTGAGACTGGGACCAGAGAGGGTTCGGGTCCATTATTCAGCTAACCTGCATATAAAAAACAGCTAAAATCCGAAGCAAAAAGAATGTGACAAACATTTCCACAAGTTACTGATATGAAAAAAGTACAAAAAGGACAAGTAAAGCTTGTATAATCAAATAAGTAACCTGCCAGGCCAGACAGCCTTAATGCAAGGCATCTGATTTTGATTGCATAAATGAGAATATTGTCTTTTACTAAAGGATCTGGATGATGTGGAAGCAGAACAATAACCACACTGAGTGGGGAGTAAACCAGTTCAAAGGTAGACGGCATTAGGAACATCTGAAGGATGCATCACAGGACTGCAAACGAGAGCCAAGACATTTATCTGCGTTATAACTTTTCTGCAAAAAAATAAATACCTGAAGGATTTAAAACTAAGTTTAAAAACTGGGATCTGGGAACAGAGAGGCATTGAAACAAGCAAGAGTATAAAGCAGCTAAAGGTATGCAGAACTATTATTTTGTTCATTATGAGTAAATAAGCTGAATTATAGAGTTTGAAAGGTTATATTAGTTCTAATCCGCCTGTATGTGAACGATTCAAAGCACAGATACATAATGGCTAGATTCTTGGGAGCAGGGAAGAGGAAGGAAGCCACGTCAGTTACCAGATGTTCAAACACATTAAAGATGGAGGGGAAAAGCAAAAAGATAAAAATAAAGAGTTCCAGAAATCAAAGAGTCAAATCCTCTCCCTCTCAGGTCTGTATATTAATACAGTGAAAGAAAAAGCAGCAGACATTTTTCAGTCTAAACACAGACGTCTACGTGTCCTGATGAGCAGGTAAGATAAAACAGCATATTTAGATTGCTGGATCTCTGCTGCTTCTCAGATTCAAAGTTATTTTTTACACCGTGAGAGAGATAAAGTACCTATGGAGACAAACATGTCCTGAAAATCCAGGAAACACACTTACCTGCTTATTTAAAAATTTATTTCCATATTGAATCCTGTTTAATTTTTAATTTTTTCAATTGCATTTATCATCTCAAGCTTCCCCCGCAGAAGTTTCTCCATCTTTTGTTTTTAAATGTGTCATATCGATAAACTGACGTTTAACAGATGGCGACCCGTTCATGTCGTAGAAGCAGATCGGTGGGGATTCTCAATTCAATTTAATTCAATTTATTTCTATAGCACCAATTCACAACACGTGATCTCAAGTCACTTTACAGAGACAGTTCAACCAGTCATACTGTCAGATTGGTTCAAAGTTTTCGATCTAAGGAAAACCAGCGGATTGTATAGACTCATTGAATCAAAGCCACACTAAGCATGCTTGTAGCGACAGTGGAGAGGAAAAACTCCCCTTTAACAGGAAGTAACCTCCAGCAGAACCCGGCTCGGTGTGAGCGGCCATCTGCCGAGGCCGACTGGGGTTCAAGGAGACAGAAGCAAACATAGAAAAAGAAGCTGAGATACAAAAGGAAACTGAAAACCAGCTCCACAGGCGGCCCCGTCCAGGAAACACACAGCCAGGCGGACGAGCTCAAAGCCAGCTCCCATGTCAGAGGATATAAAGAGCACATCCAGTTAGTCACAGTAAGAGAAACAGGACTACACTGCAAAACAGGCCAGGCTCCAACATCTATAAACAAAGTCTTTGATGGCAGCAGCACAGCAGACACGCCTCTCCAGGATGGTGTCACAGCCACCTGCTTACTGAGGCCTGACACCAGGCTTTCAGTCTCAGCTGTTTTCTTGCAGCACCTCCAACATTTCAAACTCATCTTTCAGCCAATTTGTCCGTAAACTCTGATCTTAACCAAACTGGGTTCATTTAGCTAAATAAGAGCAGCAACTGTGAGTGGATTGCATTGTGATGCTTGGTACCGCTGCCATTTCCCCCCTTCTCTTTATCGAATTATTTCTAGATGTTTGACAGTAACTGTTTAACAGCCTTATAAATGTCCTTTCTTAGTACTTCCTGCAGATCTTCAGGTTTTAAATGGATTTAAATGACTTTTAAAGCATTATTAAGAATCATTTAATGCTAATAAAACATATTTTTCTAATTTACACTGATTTTAATTCCACTGGATTCAAAAATGGAACTGACAAAAACAGAGTTTAGAAAGCAGAGAACATTTTTTAAAAGGAAAGAAAATTACCTTAGAGACAAGAACAACTAAAATCAAGATAGTAACTACCGATTCAAGCATAAATAGTCAATGACATATTCTGCTGTAGTACACAAACACACATTCTGAGTATATTTAATGTGATACTTGGATAAACTACAGTGCTTAGGTATCAGAGTTTAACCAAAGTGTGATTTTTTTAAAGGATCAATATGGTCAGCAGCATTAAAGTCATGTTTTTTTGTGCAGAGGAAACATATCCCACAGGATGACGCCACCTACACCGAGCTCAGGTGGTTATAGCAGCAAGTTTCCAGCCACGTTTCCTGTCTTCTGCTGCTTCAAAGTCCAACATGTGTGTTCAGAGATGCTATTCCACATTTTAAACCTTTCTTCAAGTACAGAAAACGTCAAAGAGTTTAAATATTTTCATCTGAGTGGGATTAAACATAAAGAGATATTTGACCAAACCAACTGTACATTTCAAGTGTCTTATGTGTTTAAAAGTTCAAAACAATCAGAGAGAGAAAGATGCAAGTGGAGGATTTTTATTTTTGTTGGAAAAAAAAAATTATAGTTCGTTCAAAACAAGAAAAAAAGTTCCACAAATATTAATTTCTCTTGACCATCAAATACGAGACACACAATGAGTACATCCAACATTTATTTCCTGTTACTCTGAGGTGAAAAATGGGGAAAGCAATTCCCAAACACAAAGAAAAGGAGGATTTCACAGTAATCGCTAGTATGTATGCAAGTTCAGGATGTCACAAACACAAATACTCAAAGCATAAAAATAATATAAAACAACATGTCGGCTTTTTAATTCAACAGCAAGAATAGAAACCTCAATAAGAAGCTGGAAGTCATTGCCCTGAAAATCAGCATAGATAAAACCTGCAGCTGCTCAGTGACTGTACATGTGGCTTCTTCCATTCATAAATCTAAAATCCTCTTATTTTGAAATTGTAGAATTGTACAATTTCTAAAATATTAGCATAATACACAATATTTCTTGTACAAGTGATATTCCCATCAACAGATAAAGATTGTAACATTATTTTAAGTCTATATTAGTTAACAGCAGCAAATGTTTTAAATGAAAAAAAAAAACCTGAACACTCAACATTCAGAAAATATACATATTCAGTTTAAAAAAAAGTTGCCATTCAAAAGTTTGTAAGAAGTTTTCTGAAAAGCTGCTAAAGTACCAGTACTAATAGCTGTATTTACGTATCTGGGACAGTTTACCTCTCTGCCAGCTCCTATCCCCTTTTATTTATTTCTGCTGGTGTTGTGAGAAAATCCTCTAAATCTTAAGCGGAACTTGAATTAAATGATATTTTTTAAGTTTTACCTTTTTTCTAATGAAGTCCTTTAACAACCGTTTTAAAACCAATGCACTGATTTCAGCAACACGTAGGAAGTCGAGGCATAGCAGAGGAAGGAGGAACGGCATCATGACTGCTGCGTGGGATATTTCTGAAGATTTAAATTAAATCTAAACTAATCTGGGAAACTGCTGCAGATCTACAGTATAGGAGGATTTTAGAGAGATGCCGGATCTCAAAGTGTGCGTGGAGCGTCACCTAATCTGCTATGAATACGGGTGTCCTTTTCTACAAGCAAACTGGTTCTAAAAGGACCAAACCTGCAGAATAAAATGAGAAAGAGGTGAAGCGAG